TGGCTAGACATTCTCCTTCAGGATGTTTTGGTAGACAGCAGAATTCACAGTTCCATTTCCATTTCTTCCAGGTCCCCAGGTAGCAAAGCAGCCCCAGACCATCACACTACCACCATATTTTACTGTTGGTACAATGTTTCTTTCCTGAAATGCTGCGTTTGTTTCACGTCACATGTAACAGGACTCAAACCTTCCAAAAGGTTCCGCTTTAGTCTCATCATTCCACATAATAAATTCCCAGAATATGTTATGTCTTGGGGATCATCAAGCTGTTTTTTGGCAAATGTGAGACAAGCCTTTGTGTACTTTTTGGTCAGCAATTGTTTTCGCCTTGAACTCTCCCATGGGTGGCATTTTTTCACAGTCTTTTTATTCTTCTCTTCTTCTTATTGTTGAATAATGAACTCTGACCTTAACTGAGGCAAGGGAGGCCTGCAGTTCTTTGGGTGTTGTTCTGGGGGTTTTTGTGACCTCTTGGATGAGTCATCGCTGCACGTTTGGGGTAATTTTGGTCAGCCGGCCACTCCTGGGAAGGTTCTCCACTGTTCCATGTTTTCGCCATTTGTCGATAATGTTTCTCATTGTAGTTTGCTGGAGTCCCAAAACTTTAGAAATTAGTTTGTGAAATTATGTTGTGATGCAGATATGGATGATGGAGAACATTCAACCAGGGTATGTGATAGTTTAAAATAAATTTTTGACAAGAGATTGTGTCTTGATTAGCTACAACAGATGTGCAGCATAGGTGAACCTGAAATATCTAAGCTGTCAGAATTGTTCATCCAACCTGGATAGCCTGTGCAGACCCAAGTTTACATGACAAAATGGTAAGTATAATACATAAAATCTCATTCTGTTTGTTTCTTTATCTGCAAACTCCTCTTAACACCATAGCAACCAAACCTTACCTGGCTAAAATGACCCATTTTTAAAAAACATTTATACACTTGTAAAATGTTACAGATGTATCAGATCATTTTTATTTTGCAACAGTGACATCAAATTTATAACCACAAAAACTGAATTGATATGATGATGCATTACGATGCAATCACATTGCCTGCCAACATTCTAGCAACAGGCTAAAATTATTTTGACCTTTTTGCACCCATCACATCTTATAAAAGCATTCTAGTTTTAAAATACCTGGTTGCTTCTCATTTATGGTGATAACATTTTCATTATAACTGCCTAGCAACCATCTAGCAACATGTTAAAGCGACCTAATATTAGCACATAAATAACACCTACCACACATTTTCCCCCTCCAGTGTGATCAAGAAACACACAAATAGGCCAAACAATACTGTAGCATGGACATGTGGTAGTTAAATAAATAAAACTGGTTTCCTAGTAGCAGGTATCTGTTTTCTAGATCTCTGTGCATTAAAGGAAATGTGGGGGATTTGTTTTTTGTTTTTTTTGCTTTTTAATGATCAATCATTTAAGTATATGATTCAATGAATACCTGTGGGGTTGAACGTGCCCCTGCTTTTAATTGTTCCTTACTTAAAGTTCGCCTCAATGGCCTTAAACAATTGAATGCAATTTCATGATATAAAACAGACTGTCAATCTGCGAGACAGCGGGCTGTGAGATTAACGTAATACTGAAATTCACTGATTGTAAAGAAAACCAATCGTTCATGAATTTGATCAGTTTTTTTCAGAAGCAGAGGGGGTGGTTGCATGAATGAGCACTTTGTGTTCCAAGGACAATGTGACAAATTCTGAATGTCTTACCGGACAAAGGAACACAGTCAACGGTGTAATCACTGGAACAACATCTCTGTCTCCAGGGCAATGCTTTCACAAGAAGTGCAGCGAGTGTGTGCTGTTCTACTGCAGCACCTCAATTAGCTGAAAAGCAATGATAAAAGACTGAGACAAGCAGGAACAAGGAAAATAAACACTTTACAAGAACTCTGGGGATTGAAGTTATACTTAATTTACAGAGTGGCCACTTTCAATCTAGTTGTGAAACGGAACTACAACTGCTTCTGTTTTGTAAAGGTTAGACTCTTTTTCGTGATGCCTTTATGTTGCTAGATAGTTGTACTATTGTTGACATTTTTCTGCTTGGTCCAAGCCTTTTGTAACACTGACTAATAAACTAACACACTCATGCGATACTCAGTATCCCTGCCTTTTGCATGTAGCACAGAGTTTTCAGTTCTTATTAGCTGACAGAGTCAATGATAACAAAGGAAATAGTGTAGCATACAGTTTCCTGTATTATGACTACTTATCTGATTAAACTTAATGTTCTTGAACATCACAGTTCTCAGTATCTTTGACTGGCTGTAAGTAACCACCAGAAATTGTGCCAATGTAGCTACTTTGTTTCTTTGAAAGTGGAACAAGAGACTAATGTTCAGCACTCTTAAAGGGCAGGAATACTAACTGAGACGACGAAGCACAAAAAGCACAGGTACTGTACTTCTACTTCTCTTAGATATTAATGAAGTATATGTTTTATGTCCTTGAATACTGTGTTTTACTTTGTTACTGTATTCCTCCTTCCCTCAGGTAAGCAGTAAATTCACACTCTATGTATGACTCCTGTATGGGCAAAAAGGTTTTTGTTGTAGGGTAATTTAAATACTTAAGATCACTGAGCTCCAGTTCAGCTATAAAATGATGATATCCCAATAATTGCATATTTCTTCTTGAAACACCATTGCTTTTAAATAAATGAGTTTCTAACTTGGCCCATTATCTTGTAACAATGTAATGTTTGGCAAAATGAGCTATTAGTTGCAATAATCCTATAGTGTTACTTTTTATGTTACTGACATGTCTCATAATCCGGATTTCTGCTTTAAACTGTAAACAATTTGCATTATAATGCTTAAGCTCCTTAACCAAACTCCCGCTGCTTTTTCAGAGTCCATTCAGCAGGACAATGCAAACGATTTTTATTGTACTGCATTTATTATAATGTTTCCTCAAGCTAATTACAAGCTTTGTTATATTCCAATTTCTTCCTCGTGCGTGTAACAAAGTAGAAATCCACCAGTACGCTACGTTTGGGGTTATGAATGTAACCTTTGTTTTCTTTCTTTCTGAGAGACGGGAACATTGCATTTCATCTTCATTAAAGAAAACAGAAACGGAACGTTATCATTACTTTCTCATTTAATTTTCTCTTTAGTTTATAAAAATGTGTCAAAATGCATTAAAACACAACATTTTTCTCAGGAATCATACAAAGCCACAGCAGAAATTGTATATACAGGCATCTGTCTTCACCTCTATCAAGACTTCAATTGTTTCTGGTGTTGCTCTCAACAGTTACTGTTTAATCAGCTGGAGAAACACCAAAGCTACTTTGAACTTTGCAGGTGTTATGAAGGTCAGTAATGGGTTGAAAGCCAAATTCAAATTTCTGATCAGTTCTGATTGAAATGAATTGAGCAAGAGCGCCTAAAAATGTTGCATGTCAAAGCTTTTGAATCACAATAAGAGTTTAAGAGTAAAGCAAGTCATGCAACTTGCAACATTAAGTTGGAAAGGAGGTTTGGAAACTTTCTTTGTACCCCAGAGTTTCAGCAATACAAACTCAGCTTTTGCCCTATTCTTTCACAACCTGATGTCTTTGACAGATTATACACTGATCCCAGACCAATCGACTTACCATCACTGGGTTGTCTGAACCCAACATTAAATTAGGTTATGGTTAGGGGTCCTTTGGCCTTTAAAAAAACGCATCTTTTAAAACAATGAGCTGGATTGTTTTAGATTGTGATGAGACAATAAACCAAACTGTGAAATACAGCTTAAGTAACAGACCCATGCATTTAAAGTTCAAAAATACTTTGCTCAGACAGGATACTACATCTCAGAAAAACATAACATTGGTAGCTGTTTTGTCTTTCACCCCAAAAACTAATCTAAAAATAATGCCGCCCAGTGATCCTGTTACAAACTGTGTGGAATGTAGAGGAGGAGGAATGCATGCCTATTTTGTGTGTGCATCATCATAAAAGCACTTTGTCTGTCCTGTGACAAAACTTTAGGTTACCTGTATATTTTTTTTCATGTTGTTTTGAACAGGTAAGTAAATTAAGGTAGAGGTTAGGTAAGTTAGGGACAACTAGTTATGTTGGGAATAGGTTTAGGTAGGATTAGGTTGATTGGATGGTTAAAATTAAGCATTGCATAAAAGGGTTAAGTTCCTGGTTGGAGTTAAGCAAAACAAAATTGGGGGACAGACTGCTACAAAAATGTTCTGTTTATTCATGATGAATGTTTTGAGATTTCGCCATTCACAGAGAAGTCCATAACAAATCAGGCTGTGTATTATGCCATTCTTCTGATGAATTACTGTGTATATTTTGCACCATGATGTCCTGGAGATTCATTGGACTCCTTTTTGGGGGGTATACAAAATTAAGTCCACCAAACGTTCGTAACTGATTTTAGTATGAAGGCTTAGCTTGAGGTTTGGATAAGGTTTGGATTAAGTTGAACGTTAAGACAGGACTCCAGGAAACAAACATAAATCAAAGTAATGTCCTCTAAAGTGATGAAAACACGAGTTTGTGTGTGTGTTCGTGTGTGTGTGTGTGGGGGGGGTGTCCCTCGCGCCCCACCTCCCTGTCCTCCATCCAATCAGAGCACAGAACGGCCACTCGGGCCTCGCGACCATGGAGCGGCAGCAGCAGCAGCGGGGAGCGGAGTGAGGAGACAGTGGGGGAGGGTCACGTGTGTACACACTGTAGAGCTCAGCAGCACTCCAGCAGTAGTAATGCCTGTAACGGTCGGCCCCCTTTCAGATCCAGCCTCGTCCGAAAAGTTGATAGATGCGAAGCGAAACAACTGAAATCCACTAAAACGTGATTTTTCCCTTCCCGCTGTTTTACTTTTCACGAGCGCAAGTCTTTTTTTTCCATACCCAAATGAAACGACTGAGAAATGCCAGTGGAAATGCTACATCAAAACCCAATGCCTCCCTAGGGTTGTCACCGATCCAAGCCTATACGTTTGTGGTGAGTTCTCTTCTCGTTTCCATTGTTTCATCTCGACAAATACGAAAGGTATCGGTCTCTGGCTTTCACCTGAAAGTGGGAAGAAGTGAATTTGCACCGCTGGGGATGACTAGATGCGAGAGTGAGTAGTCGCAGTTGTGCCAACAAAGAAGGGGGTGTAATAAATAATGGTAAAGTCGTGACAGCTATCCTCGCTTTCATCTGCCTGGTCAAGTGTAATGACACGGCGTGAAGAAAAATAAATAAACCCCCCCTCCAACTCCATTAGCTGGTGTTTTCTTAGCTTTGTTCAGCTTCAGAAGTTCCACAATTTTAGCGACGGGCTTGTATTTGGAAAACAACACCTGACGAGGAGGTTTCTCACGGGATCAGCTTTCTGAGGTGCAGGGGAGAAAAAAAGTTGTATCATTTTGATCAAAAGGCCTCTCAGGTAATCTGCTCTTTATATAAGATAAGATAAGTCTTTATTGTCATTGCACAGTCATACATAGTACAGTAGTACAATGAAATTGGAAAAACTGTCCTACGTCGGCACTACATATAACACAACACGACACGATATGACACATCACAACGTAACAAACAACACAACACAGTATATTAACTTAGTATAAAAAAGAAGAATAAGTGTATGTGTATTGCACACTGTTATTATTGCACATTAATTATTATTGCACCTTGTTATAAATATAAATATTATTGTAATATTATATGAATAATCATTTCCAATCTGTTGTTGATACCTTCTGTTGGGAGCTAAAACTAGTGGCTCTGTTAACTGTGAGGAATATGTATGTTATGACAAGCTGCAACATGAGCACAGCTTTGTTACCTAGGTCTGAATGCGCTCCCTTATATCCATGCCTACACATATACAGTCTTGTAGTGCTAAACCATTAAGATACACACAAAAAATAGTCTTAATCTTAATTTTAATGAGGTTTTACACCCAACTTTCGGTTTGTTTTGACAGATCGTGTGTCTTTGCTTTACCTACTTCAGTCCTTTTTTTACTTCATCATTGCTTTTAGCAGATGCAGGAAGGTTATTACTGGTAATTACTATATTTTATCATTCATTTTGAAATGGGTGCCACTTCATTGCGAAGTAGCTCTAGCCACTAGTCAGTGGTGCTTGTCACCCAAATGAAATGCTTCTTAAGACTCGGTCTTTGCACTTGTTGTCATCAACTTCATCCATGTGACCGGAGGGCAACTGGGCGTGTGTGGCTGTGGCTTAATGACAGTAAGCCTGCTTTGTGCTGACCATTGAACTCTTCACTTTGTTGAAGCCGCTGACAGTTCAGCAAGTTGCCGGAAAAGAAGCCGGGAAGTCTGCTGAGACTCAGACCGACCTATGTTTGACCAGACTCTGTTACACTAGAACTCAATAAGAGGAACTACTGTTTCCTCAAAGATAATCAGATGATGTTTGACACCCCTTTTGAAGTAGATAATCCATTAAAGCATCAGTGATGCGCTCATTAATCAAGGAAGCAGATCTCTATCGTTTGCAGGAAAATGTGCCGTTTAAAAGCTTTCAGACTCAAGCTATTTTGCCTCCACTGTACAAAAACTGATAACAATTTGTACAATTTGTGCATAGAACCTTTCCCCAGGGCTTGAATTGGAATGCAATGAGTTACTTTGTAGATTTGAGGGTTATTAAAGAAACGCATGTGCTGTATTGTGTCACCTGTCACGTCTGATGTTGCTGCATAGCAACAGTATCTGAGGCGAGTCTACTGGGGTGATGGCCACCCCTCAGAGTGTGGGTTATTTTGAATATAAAGATTGTACTTAATGTACCATTTTATATCAATGCTGTAGTTATACAATACATACATAACAATAAACCAATGTCCACATTAATAAATCAGTAGTTATGATTCAATAATATCCTATATATGATGATAAGAATAACGCTTGCTTTAATTTTAGATACTTGAAGCATATTTCTTTATATATTTTTAACAGTCTAAATATTGGAAAACAAATAGTCCATGCAAAAACAATCTTCAGTGTCCAATATATTCAAAGCCAATTTTCTACACTGTTTATTTCTAATCAAATATTATGATTTCCGTCCCGTGGACAGCTGTTTGAAAAAGCCCCGGAAACACCCTTGCACAAAAACGTGCAAAAACGAGTGGCGTAATCTTATTTTCTGGCTGTAGTACATTCTGCTGCTGCTGTGTTGCTGTAGACATGGCTACAGAATCATGTGACATCACTCGCAGCTTTCTGAGAAGGGCCTGTAAATTCCAGTAAGGCTATACGAGGGGTGTGCGCCCAGTATGTCACACTGCTCCCATCAGGCGGTGATATCTGGCTTCAGAACGCTGAGACGTCAAGCACGTGGGCGTCACTGTTACACGATCGTGTTTGGTGGGGCCGAAGCATGCCGAAGCAGGGCTGCCCCCTCTGGGGATAATAAACTTAACCACTTTTCACATGGCGTAGTGCAAAAAGTTCAGACAAGGTTTAACCAAGTGTACAACTGCAGTCAAAGTCACGTTCAAGAGTTTTCAGCTTAGGCTATAGAGCTCTCTCCTGGTTTGCATGCTTGTAGCAGTAGATGTAAATGAATGAATAGTTATATCTCCTGTTAGCACAGCTCATAATTAATGTAGCATAAAAGAAGGGAACCGTGATGGGCATGTTCTCTAAGGAACGGTCCTTGAAAGACTTTATTCAACAACCGTATGAAAGGAAAATAAAGTGACAAGTTACCATTCTCCTTGGAAATTAATAAAAGATAATATGCATACTTCAATGACTGCATGAGCTTAGCCCTGACCACAACTGCTCTGACAGCGCTCGTGCCGTAATAACAGCTGGGTGTAGTGTCTCTCTCTGACCTTCACTCAACCCCAACAACGTCACCTCCAGCTGTAGCCTTGACAGGCTCCAAAATGGGATAGAAAATGAAATGGCCCTCATTACACTGAATCAAAACAGACGTGGATCATGCAGCATGAAGCTGTTCTGCCTCCGAGTCAGGGGTGGACGTTTTCTTACACCCCGCTTGTTTTTCCCTCAGCTGAGTAGAAAACTAGTGATTTCATTATCGTGGGCTGCTGGCAAAACGCGCAGAGCTAAAGTGCACTGACTTTCACGACATGAGTGGTTGTTGCCTAGAGTGAATGAATGCTTTTGGTAAACAGCGAGCAGTCCACAAGGATTATACGAAAACATTCATTAGAATGTGGCCTTTTCCAATTTTACATAGCAGGTCATTTAAAGATTCATCTTTGCAAAAATAATATTAATAATGCAACTCTGATATACTCTGCACTGCATTGGTTGTTTGTAAGATTGGATTGGTAATTAAGACAATGCATGTCTTTTGGTCATATTTTTTAATGCATAATATTGTCTGAGAAAATCGGCAATGGTTGTTTTACTATGCATTTTCAGTGTGATCCCTCTAAAGCTTTGTTTATGGTCACAGCATTGGTTTTTGTGCACTCCACAAGTCTCCACAGCCTCACAACTATTTGACACCGGCATTTGAGGTGTGCAGTCGTCGTGTCAGAGCTCAGAAAAAACAAACAAACCTCAGCATCAATGCTGGAAAAAGTCAAAACAGGAAGCAAAGGAGTTTTCTCCAGAAAGTCTAATTTTTTTCCAAACTGTTGCAGTGTCTCTCTGTGTATATCATCTGTGACTTTGTGTACTGATATATCACAGAAATGGCGGTTAAGACCAACACGATCGTGAAATCGTGTCTCCAACATGGTCACGCCAATCGCACCACAATGGCAAAAAGGCTGTTACTGTTACTGTTGTCATTCACGAAGGCGATGACAGCAAGCATGAACGCTCCCGTTATTTTTCCTCTCGCATGACGTACAGCCTTTTTCCTACTGTTCAAAAAGAATAGAAGCAGAGAGAAAATGCGACCTTTAAGTGGAGAAAAATATCAATACGCCAGCATTGCTTCCTCTCGCAATGCAATTATTGATATGCCGCTGTCAGATATCGATATTTTAGTCAAATTACAGATTACAGATTCTGTAAGTGGATTTCCACAACAACAGCAGACAGCTCCTATTAACTCTGCTTTGGAGGGTTACAACAATACGGCTCCGATTCCCTATGGAGATTATTAATGGGGCTTTTTCTTCTGGAGTTGTTGAGCATCACTGCATCCTGAGTGACTTTGTGATTCCCACCATCTATGTGCCCGCAACAGGAAAGCACAACTTTGTCCTCATGGGGGGAGTACTGTCCAGAAGGTCACTAAATTTGTTCCTGAAAAGCAAACTAAGATCTGTTTTTGGCCCGATGAGCACTCCTTTGGATGGGAAGAGTGTCAGGGGAATAAACTGAGATGCGTATCAGGGATTTTCCTGAGGGTTTTTGGCATCCCACAGATGGTTTTAAGGGAAATGGAAAGAAAACTCACCAGCAGTGTTACAGAATTACACTTTTAACCTGTTTTCTTAACTTGGGATTCACATTCTCAAGCATAATAGACTTTTTTTAATAAGATAATTAGATAGAAATAAATTAGAAACCTACACAAAGTGCAAATGTTCGAGTCATACATACGAGAGAAAACAGTTGACCTCTTTTTTTAACAACTCCTGCAGCTATCAGAAGCTGTAGAGTGAGCCAATGTGTTAATGACAGGGAGTTAGAAATGTCCGTATACAGCAGGTGCTAATTAATGAGGACTGCCAGCCACATTGCAGTGAGTCCTCTTTAATAATCACGAACTTCCCCTTAAGTCATTTTCTCTGTAAGTGATGAAAGGTTGTGGGAGGAAGTAAAGAGTGAATAAGCTTACTGTACTTCTTAGTATATGGAAGCATTGTGGTGGTGGTGGTGGTGGTGAGGGGGGTTTAGCACGAATCGATGAAAAGAGGAGCACTGGTTATAGTGTGCTTTTTTTTCAAGGTCTGCTTTCGTCAATGAGTCACCAAGCTGCCGGTGTTTGAGAGCAGTGTTTACAAGTGGGCTGACCAGTGCTCCCAACTCGGTGAAGATTGCCCTCCTCCCGATCCACTTCTTGTCCGTCTCTGTGCTCCAGCCCCCACTACAGCCCCGTTGCAGCCAATTGGAGCAGCACAGAGGAGAGACTGAGTGTATCTGTGTGTGTGTGAGAGGCTTAAGGCTAAAACAGCCTCTCTGTAGTGGTGTTACGTAAGCACACAGAAGAATGTTTCTCCTTTACTGGCATCGTTACTCATTCTCTGAAAACAAAACTGCCTTCCTACACTTTGTTTCAGGGTGTTCTCGGGGAGAAAATTTCCAGAAAATTCTGCACAGACTAGCGGGCGTACTGTTTCCATGTAAAAATGTTATCGTCCCTTCCCAAAAGCAGTTTTGCATGTGGAAACATATCTGTCAATTTAGTTCTGAGGAAAGGAAATATTGTGGGACCTGAGTTATTTACTTTAGCTTATAATAATAATCTTCCTAAGAATGACCCCAGTTAATTATGTAAGGAAACATCTAAATCATCCAGCCCCATCAGCTTCACTCCTAAATGTTCCTGACATCTACGCTGTCTCCCCCTTTCCTTTGTTTTTTGACCTTGTCCTGAACTCCAACCTACACCTCGTCCTTCGCTGACCCTTCACCAAAGCCTGCTTCACATTTCACTCTTTATAAATCTACCCATCGCCGCCTGCCCAGCCCCCAGGCAGCTTGGCAGTAACTTTGAACGGAAGATAAATGCTTTTGACTGGGCACCAAAGCTGTCTGTGAAATGTTCTTCTTTATCACGCTGCGTGTGAATGAAAAATATAAGGGCAGCTCTGCACAGTCAGCGGCGCTCTTGCATGCAACTGTAGGAGGGAGAACGAGGAGGCCGAGGCAGAGCGAGGGAGAGACGCCAAGGTGTCAAACAAATGCAGTTTTGTATTCTTCCACCAGAACAAAGGCCTCATTTGCTCTGGCCAGTGAGGAGCAATGGTGGGTTTTTGAGGCTGAGCTAGCAAATCAAACATATTGTGAGGCGTTTGTATTCAGTCAGTCAGATGCAGTGAAGTGAAATTAACAGTGTTACCCGTGGCATAATAGGCGAGACGTGGTGGATGTGTTTTTGTGTCGCGGCCTTGCTTAAAAAACTAATCATTTTAATAATATCAAGCAGGATAAACTCAGAGACCTTTTCATAAAAGCCATAAATATGACATAAAATAAAGATAGTTTTGGGTGATGTTAAAAATAAGTTTTAAAATGTTTTACAGTCATATATACTGCTGTACACGCATAGATGACAAATTAAAGGAAAAGCCTGAACTCAGTGGCTCCCTTAAGCTGTTGAGCGTATTTCGTTGTGCACATTGTTTAGGTGCACTTGTTCCCTAAAGCCCAGTCCGCATATAAAGGGATTTACCTCTGACGGTTGCCTAGGTAATCCACTAATGTATTTAGTCATATGTCAACAGCTGTATCCTTTACTTCCACGGATTGTTGCTTCAGTCTCTCACCTAAAGGTGAGGTACATTTACCTCAATATTCGCCCCCTTTGTGTCACCAGTGGTTATTTTTCCCCACCGTCACCACAAGTTGCTGAATTCATTGACATGTTATGGTCACTGCTAGGCTCTTCCTATGTCTGTGCCCCTTAAGAGGGAAATCCCTTTGCAAGACAAAATACAGTGACTGTTTTTATCCTATAATGAAACATTTCTGTCACGATGGTCGTCATCAAAGCCCCTCTAAAAGAAAGTCTGGCGACTTGACTGTTATTTTGACTCATGTCTGGGTTGTTATTTTAAAGCCCTTATCTAAATGAATGGGGAAACGAGAATGACTCACTTTAACGTAAAAATTAAATGTTTATAATCAACAGTCACATCCCAGGAAGAAAAGGTTTTAAAAGCTTCTTCCTCTTGAAAGCTGTATGCATCACGAGTGAGAAGGAGTTACTGTTCTTCTTCTACTGTAACCCTTCTACTCCAACAGGATTGGCTAATATGTTTCCTGTTTAAGCTGTTAATTGGCTCACCACTTATGCCCTCATTGGTGGCCACCATCATTAGCATTTCAGAGGTCCTTCACTGTTCCCTGTGTGTCACTAGAGTCGTCTTTTTTCAGGATTTCAATGCCCTGATTCAAAGGGCGCAAGAAGCCACTTAATGATTTGCTCTGTCTGAAAATGATGGAGAGTTCAAATAGCAAACGTGCTATTCAGCTTTCTCTGGTAACCGTTCGATTGTTATTCGAAGCTCGCATTCAGTCCTAAACCGCTCTCTGATGACTCTGCATAGTTGTGGTACATTTATGGCACGCTTTATCTTTATCTGTTCTAATTTGCACTGCACCGTGTTTGGATTTATTATTCAAAGGAATTCCAAACATTACTCTTTAACAGTTATTAACCTCAGACTTTGCGCGTTTGTCCTGTTTGTACAGTGGCACTTGGCAAAAGGCGTGTAGGTGCATTACCTCCAGCTTCTGACAGTGGAAGCACGTGATGAGGGAAATTCATATATGTTAAACAAACAAAAAGAAAACAAAAGCCACACAAACTTTAGGATGTTGTGAACTTTATGGTTTTTGAGAAGAATGGTAAACTAATCCTTATAGCAAAGCTTAAGAGTTTAATGAATCTACCAGGAATTCTATGTTATTTTTACCTTTATCATACACATATCTCATTAATGACTAATTCTTTTCTCCTTGACTCTGTCCACAGTCGACCTGTTGAGAGTGCTTGATCCGTGTCAGAGCCCAGCGATGTGGATCTGCATGGTTTACAATGAGACGGACACCAGCGTGGACTTCCGGCTCTGCCGGGACTTTGGCCTCATCCTGTCAATCCTCTCCCTCATCTACCTCCTGGTGTGTTTCCCACTGGGCCTGTGCTACAATATGCTGCTGGTCGTGGTCAACCTCTCAAACAAGGTGTCCATGACCATGCCTGATGTCTATTTTGTCAACATGGCCATTGCGGGTCTCGTGCTCAACCTGGTGGCGCCCGTGGAGCTGCTGAGCTCCACCTTCACCCGCTGGCATGTGTGGGAGTATAACAATGAGGTTTACATCACCCTACTCATCCTCTTCAACATCTCATCTCTGGTTATCATGTATTCCACCACGCTGCTCAGTCTGGACTACTACATAGAGCGCGCGCTGCCTCGCACGTACATGTCGAGTGTGTATAACACCAAACACGTGTGCGGGTTTATCTGGGGCGGCGCAGTGCTCACGAGCTTCTCCTCGCTGCTCTTCTATGTGTGCAACCACATCTCCACCAAGATGGTCGAATGCTCCAAAATGCAGAACAAGGAGGCAGCGGACTCGATCATGATGTTCATCGGCTACGTGGTGCCCGCCCTGGCTGTGCTTTATGCTTTTGTGCTCATTCTGCGCATCAGGAAGGAATCTACACCATTGGATCAGGACTCTGCTCGCTTGGACCCTTCCATACACAGGTTGCTGCTAGCTTCAGTCTGTGTGCAGTTCGTACTGTGGACTCCGTACTACATGACTCTTTTAGTACATACTGTAGTTGTTGCACCAGGATACATTAGCAGTGCACGTTACTTACCTATCTATTATTTCTTGAGATGCGTATCTAAACTGTTGGCGTTCTCCAGCAGCTTTGCAATGCCTCTTATGTACAGGCAGATGAACAAAAACTTCTCCAACAAGCTCCAGCGGCTGCTCAGGAGGCTGCATTGCAGAGACCAGTCCTGCCCTCGTGAACGCTCAACAGTGCAGCAAGTGGTGACGTGAGATCCCCCGCCCCCCTTGCTTGCATTTTCCACTTCTCGGCCTAGCCAGCACTTATCTCCCCTCTATAGCGCCAGTATCTGACGGGGATCTCTCACAACCCCGGACTGTTTTGAGAGCGACGTAGCTAACTCTGGAATTTCCTGTCACCTTCCCGGATTTTAATCTGTTCTATCTAGGTCTGCAATGAGGGGACAATGCAAACAAAAACCACTAAGTGCTGGGTTTTTTTTGTTTGTTTGTTTATTTTTAATACATTTCTCCACCAAGAAACTCAGGCTTCTAGTTTAAGGGTAGTAAATTGGGAACAATCATCCAATAACTACCGAGGACAGAGTTTCACAACAAAAAAATCCCGTTTTTCCGCGTCCTCCTTTGGGAGTGGGTGTGGTTTTTGTGCCTACATTTCACCTCTAACACACAAGCAGATCCAATAAGCTATAAAAGTTTAATTATCAAATGCAGCCAAGTTACTTAGTTTTTTAACAGAACCCTCTCCACCCCTGCAATGATGGTGGCTGGTATACCCATAAGCAACCACCACTAATGAACGGTGTGCGTGCCAGTGGAAATCACTGTTTACCGCCCTCAAACTATAAGCCTCGGCCACTTCTTTTTTTTTAATTTGAACTCAGTTTTCCTTCTGCTTTAATTTGTTTTGATTATCAGATTAAATAATCTTCACATGTTGAAGCTGGAGTACAATATTAAGTTTGTCTTGGACACCAATACTACCCTGTGGCTAGAACTAAGTACTGATATTAAGATATGTTCCCATTTTAATTTCAAAGATTGTATTCTGAAGTTTTGATCCACTCAAACATACAAAGAGATTATTTTTACGTCTGTCAAGCTCCACTATATATATATACAGACACACACACACATCTACACCACTTTGAAATCACACAGAACTAAATGGAACACTCACGTAAAGCTTGTATTCAGGGTTCAGACATAACCAGTATACCTCGTGTGATCTCTGCTGATTATAACCTTACCTGATAACCACAAACAGTTTGAAATCCCCTCATTAAGCTGAGCTGACAGCCAGTGTTCTGTTAACTTTTGATCTATTTCTGCAGGAATTATCCACCCAGTGGATCAGTGAACCCCCACACAGGGTCACAGAGAGAGCCCTGAGGGGTTGTCATGCACAGGCCACAAGACTCATGACTGGCTGTGAAGTTTTTGCACACTAACAGTATCAAAAACCTTCTTAAACATATGAAAAGCCCACTTGATAAGCACCTAGAAGCAGTGTGTACAATACAGAAGAGTTTGAACTTTAATGCTGCTCACATGCACATTATTATCAAAGCTGCTTTGCTTCCTTGCCTGCCATGGTAAACAGTGAACATAACAATCTGATGGCGACGAATCCCAGCTATCAGAACTAAAAACACGTTCTAGCATTCGGTCTGCTGCTTCACTGCATTAGTTTGCATATTGAATTAAAAGGCCAGTTTGTTAATCAGCCTGTGAAATGATACACCAGCAAGGTGGGGCGTCCACTCGAAGTTAAATGGAGACGGGCGCGCTCTGATATGAATCGTATGTTTGTATTCAGTTTTAATTTACACCTTCAAGCACACATTAACTCTGTTAATGACCCAAAGCTGAGCTGAAATGTTTGAAGTATTTGGGCGAGTGCTCTTTTGCTGTAAAATGTGAAGGAATGCCAGATGTACTAACAGGTTTGACCCTTTTTTTCTGGGAAATAGTATTCACCTAAAATGCATCATGTGCTGCCCCACAAAATCCTTGAATGGATGGTTTTTGGCACAGTTAATCATTATTTGCTCTCAGTTCAGTGTCCTAATGTGAACTGAGCATTTAGGAATGAAGAGCAAACACTGGACTGAATTTCTAAAAGTCCTTTTATTTTGTTAAATGTAGCATAGAAATTGCTACGTTTTGTAATTATAAGTTCATTCCTCCAAAAAACGTACTTAAATTGATTTTATGCAGTTCATGTGATACACTACCAACTGCATGTAAGTGTTATGAAAAGATATCCAAACAGAGGGTGCTCATAATTAATCTTTTTTAGCATAAGTCCTGAAGCTGCACCAAACGACACTAAGAGAGTGACAATCATGTAGAGATTCCAGTAGCTAAATAACTGCACTGTTTTGCTTCAAAATACCATCGAGTTTTTCTGAATTGCTTGAAGATGATGTGTGCATGTGCTGCCTAACTTTGCCTGATCAGTTTTCTTTAACCACTGCTGCAATTTCATCCATTAGTCTGTTTTTTTTAAAATGTTTTTTAACTATCCAACCCCAATCCCTTGGCAGAATTAATGATCAGCGGTCACTACATGGAGTGATAGCGTGATGTTCACATCTAGAAACTAAAGCGTGATCAAAGCTCAAATCACACCTAACTCAGATGGCTGCTCGTGTCTGAGAATGGTTTATTATTTCAGAGGTGGCCAAAACCTCGCGTCGGCGCAAAGAAACAGCCCTAAGAGGTCTTGTATGTTGAACGAGTACAGATACATTTTAGTTATTTGAACAACCAAACCTCAAACATCCAGATGAATCCACATTCAGATGTTATGCTTTTGTGACTGTGTATACAAATGTATATGTATAGTACAAAATGATTTGTATATATTGTATGTAAAAATCTTGCAGGAGGACACCGTGCTCTTTGAAAAAATACAGTATTATTTTCTGAGAGATATATTTAGATTCTGTAAGTACTCTACTGTCAGCTGAGTCAAAGACTGATTAAACAATAAACTAAAATGGATATAACCGCTCCTTCCTGTCTCAGTGAAATCTTACCATTCGTGTGGTCATGTGAACAATGTTTCTGTTTGTCAGATGTTTGTATTATTTTTAAATAGTGTACATGTTTGTGTTTTGAATCCATAGATCTGAGCTTACGTGGATGTTGGCTAAGTTAAAGTCATCTTGAGATGTTGGTTATTGGTGGACTGGTGGTGCATATGTGAGCTGTTCATTAGTGACACTAATCTCAGTAGTACCCCTGATTAGATGATGGGATGAGTGAATCCGCTCTGATGTAGGCATTTATATACTCACTGGCCACTTTATTAATTACACTTTGCTTGTACCACCACAATCTGCCTTCATTCTTGACAGTAAAGATTCAACGAGATGTTTTCATGTTGTTTATGTCACATTTTTAAACTACCATCTTAATGTTACAGCAAAGATAGAGGCTCGTCTTATTTTCGTGAGCCTGTGTAAAAGCCTCAGTGCACTTTTATAGCTGACCAGACTGACACCTGGGATGGTCTTCCCCTGTAGCCCATTATGTGGGACAACATGTTGTGCATTCAGATTCATTTTTTTTTTTTTTTTTGCCTTCCTGTCTGGATAGCTTGTTTTTTTTTTCCAGATCAGTTTCTATAAACCCGAGAGATGTTTTTACTGGAAAATCCCAGTAAATCATTCGTCTCCATTCGGATGCTCAGTGTGGACTTCAGCAGGTTGTTTTCACCACTTCCACATACCTTAATGCACTGAGTTGCTGTCATATGATTGGCTGATTATTGGTTAATACTTGCAGTAACAGTTGAACATGTGTATCCAGATGAAGCGGCTGGTGAGTGTAAAGTAGAATGCTTAAAAACTTTTTGTTTTCTTTTTTAAGGAAGACTGAGTGCATGTCTGCAACTTAATCCCACAGACCTTTATCAGATCTGGGAGGGGACTGTGAAAGTTGTGTAGGTTGTCCTGTATTTCTAAGCTGCAGTGAAAGCGATTGTGAACAATGCCACAGCTCCCTTCCTGCTTACCACATGGCTAACACCACATCTTTTGTGGAGGGACCCTTTAACCAGGACACACAGGCTGGGGAAAATAGCAGCATTCCCAACATTCTGTGGGTCTGACAGTCCGAGGCTGCTGCTATTCTCTGTCACAAAACAATGTTGTGTAGGCATCTAATAACAATGCCCTACACACTAGAGCTGCGCCAATGTCTGCAAGTAAGAGCTTGAAGTGTGTGAGTTAGCAGGATCACACTATAAACAGCCAACTTTTCAGTTAAATCTGAACAGGCTGAAGTAATCGGTTATGATGTTCATATTACAGTTAGGAAGCAGTTACACTGTATTGCACAACAGTGTGTGGATTAATAATACCTGAGAGACCAAAATATAGAGGCAAACATAAGATCTCCAGTGGGAAGAGGGGGGGGTCTTGAATCATGTGCACTGCATCTGGAAATGATATGATAATGAAGTGAAAAAAACATGGTTGTCATGGCTGCTGTTTCCATCTCTGAGGATTGAACTTTCTCGGAGCTTTTTAACTCAAAAAGCACAAACCATCACTCATCAGTTACTGAGTTTGTCAGTTGTTTGTCACTCTTAAAGAGCAGGAAACTTGTCATGCACGCAGGGATTATTATTCATATGTGTTGCTGATTACAATTGGGTAATTGGACATGTTTACAAGCCCACATGATTATGTCCAAAGAAACATACAAACCGCGTACAACCCAAACAACTGCACACCAACTAAAAGCCCTCAAGGAACTATGCAGCAACATGTTGCACTTGATACCAACTCCCCCAGGCCTGCAGGTGCATTAAGGAAAGCATATAGAAGATCTTTTCCAATAATGTCAAACGACTTTTTTTGCCATATACTGTAAAGTTACACATACACATTATCTGGTATGGATTATCTGCTTGGAATAAAAGCAAAGCGTGAAGTGTGAAGTGTGTCAGGTTACAAGTTTCACACTTTCGTCCTTATTTTGCTAAGTGCACCAGGAAAAGCTCTTAAGTGTACCAGCATGTGTCTGGAAATGGAGTAATGCTGACATAGCACAGATTTCGTAATGTGCTACATTAGTCTTAATGTTGTTTTTCTCCTTTAAAGGTTCAGCCAGACCAGAAGTATGAGGGTCGGCTTCGGTCTTACACACAGTATCAGAGACCACCTATGAAGATGGAGAATTTGGCTTGCCGTTTGAAATGTTTTATCTGGCACTCATCCACATTTCACACACAAACCTTAACCCACCGCTGTTTTTTTCTTAATGTGGATGAAAACTGGGCTATATAATGTAAAGGCAGGAGCAAGACCAAACAGGTTACAGTTCTCACGCAGGTATCTCACGCTGGGATCAGAAAAAGGGGAAGAAGTGGCGTCAAATCCTGAATTCCTAGAGCAACCAAGCCACAAGAAAGAGAGAGCGAAAGTGTCTGACTGCAGGCAAGGAAAACCCTCCACATGATAGTAAAAGAATAAGAATTAATACATTAAATAGGGCAAAGGAAGTGAAAAGGCAGGAGCACAGCAAAAAGATAGCAGTTGTACAAAAGAAAAAACAAATCTAAAGATTGCAATTTATCAAGAACATGGTGAACATGTTCTTGATAAATGGCAGAATAACAGGGCTACGGTTCCTTTCACATGGTGGAAGGTCTGGCCTTGACATGTTTGAAATCTCCCACCATAATAAATTCAGAACAGACCATAAAGCTTCAGGAAGGAACCTTCATGTTCAGCCCATCGCATCGCTTCAGCTCTGGGGAAACATGTGCACCAGGGCAGATGCTTTGATTTCAACCCACCCTTCCTCCATTGCCAAACCTGTTCTTTTTGCTTCTCATCTCCAGAAACGAAAAAAAAAAAAAAAAAATAGACTAACAATAAAAATCCCAGCATCAGCTAAATATCAAACATAGGCCTGGAAGCAGTGCAGAGGAGCTGGACTCAGGCAGGATGTTCCATTCAGAGTTTGTGGTTGTGGCTGTGGGAGATGCTGAATAGAGCCAGCAGCACATCAGACCGGTAAGTGGAGGCAGATGAGGGTGCTGTACCCTCCCTCCTCCAGACCTCCCACTTTCACTCCCCCAACCACAAGCAGTTAAACCCCAAAACTTCCCATTAACACTGGTTGTACTGATAGTATTGCTTCCATATTTAGCCTAGTTCTTAAAGAGGAGTTATAACAATAGTATGTTTTGTAGTTATGACAGAATTTTATGGCTCAATTTTTAAAAAATGAGACCAAAAGAAATGTTTGATTCATCGTGCATTTATCCATCAGTTTCATCAGTTGACCTGCTGTGTATTTTTAGAATAAAAACATCAACATCTGACCTGCTTTAATACTTTGAAACACTCAGACACTTTCATAAATCATCGTAAACACCACAGAAGACTTTTACCGGATTCCTGTAACCCACTGCTCATCCCACTCCAACATCAATCACTGTTAATGCCAGTGGGCCATCCAGTGGACATAAGCATGAACTGCAACCTTTCTGACAACATTGAGCATATACTGTAAGTCCAGTTGAAACGCCTCAAGACAGAAATATATATTTGAAGCACAGTATGGAAATTCTATGTTATGCAGATCATGAAAAAGGCAAAAACTGGTATAATGATTTGTTTTTTATCTGTATAATAAAGAGCAAAATATGGAAAACAGAGATTTCCTGCAGCATTTTTAAGTAAGTTTTAAAAAGTGTCTTGCTCAATATCTTTTCAGCCGTGCAAGATCTTGCTGGAACAAAAAACAAAAAACCTTATCCAGATGAGGCCCAGACTTTATGTAACCTTTAGCCTGATTTGTTTCTCAGAAGTGTTTTATACTGCAGAGAAATCCAACAATCGGTCAGTGCCCTACCTTTTCTTTTTCAGCTTTTTATCGTGCTTTGGTGGGGAATGGCATATGTGAGGTATTTGTTCTCTACTAAAACAAATACAACTAAGTGTGCTTCAGCGGTCATCATGAATTTGGTTTTGTTGACTTGCACATTTGACCACTACATCCCCGCTTTCCCCTTATCTGTGTGAAGTCACGCAGACTGAATAACTCAGATTTCAGGTAGCTGGGGAAAAAACAATCACACCAATCTGGCTGACTGCATGACCTCTCGGACCTGCTGCTCTCGTCTTTCTTCATGTGTGCTGCTGTGCTGACCTTCTACCGCAGCTAAAATCCTCTTTTATGTAACCCACAGAAACAGCTCTCTGTTGTCCACTCTCCTGTCAAAACCCCAAAGTTGTTTGCACCAGCAGGGCTTCCAGCTGCTGTATTGACCCTGTCTGCTCCCTCAGACTGCTACTGTTGCTCTGCTGTACCATATCCTCACTGCCAAAACACAGCTCCTTGACGACATGAAGCTCTGCGACATATTGCTGTTGCATGCTGCTGTTGTCCCTTAAAAGTCCCTTCAATAATACTGCTATGTCTTTTACAATATTAAAACACAGTAAAGATCGTAATGCTTTATGTGAGCAACTCCACACACAACAGATTAAGTTGTAATCCTGTGCTGGGGGAACAAGGTTCACATGTTTCCCTTTTTTTTACCTTTCTAAAGGGAACCTTTTATGCTTTTCTTCATCTTCTGCCAAATATAAATTCACAGTGGTGGAATATGTCCAAGGTTTTGAGCTAATTCATTGGGTTTTGGCCTGTTTGATTTTGTTTGTTTGTTTGTTTTTTGTCTAATCCTGTCATCACATTATTTACGAGAAAGAAAATCATTCAACATCATTAGGTATTGTTTTTGTGTTGGCTGCAGTTTCTTCAATTCTAACATTTATTTTTGTTTTTCTGTCCAAACTTCAAGCCCAGACGCCTCTGAGTGCGTTGACCTTCCCTGTCTTTAAATTCACTACCTCCACAGACTTTTTGTTGTTGCTCACATCTTTTTTTTAAAGCCCTGAGGCTGGCACACAGCAATACCAAAGGAACTTCAACACCATACCTACCAGCACTGATGCAGCTTTGACCCCAACTCCCTGCCTTCCCCAGGCTGTCTTTAAATGAAGCGACCTTCCCACCTTGTGAGAAGTTTACAGTCAAGTTTGGTCTTTTGGAAGCTTTTGCCTGAATTATCAATTTTTCTTCACTTTAGTCCTGCTTAGATGTTTTTGTTTTTGAAGGTGAGCTATTATGCTCTTCTATAGTTTCACGTTTTTTATCCTTAGACTCTACCATTGTGTTTTTGTATAATTCATATTGAGAAATTAAGATGCTTAATGATATTGTAAAGCCAAAATTAGAAAAAGACTTTCCACATCAAGCCTTTGGCTCACAGGTCACTGTGAGTGATAGGGATAGGATTATACTTTTCAGCTACTTGGGATACCAAAATGATAAAAAAAAAAAAAAAAAATTTATGTTTATTGAACCTTGGCCAGTCTTGGTCGCCGGGGATTGCTCCGCCAGGACCTCTGCTCCTGGTGGCCGCCCAGCTCACAATGCATCCGACCCCTATGGTGCCCACCACCTGCAGGAAGATGGGCCCATGTCCCTTATTTTGGTCTGTGCCCAGCCGGGCCCCATGGACTAAGGCCCGGTCACCAGACGCTCACCCTCAGACACCCTCCCTGGGCCTGGCTCCAGGGTGGGGCCCCGACAACTCTACCCCGGGGAGGGTGAACTATTCCCTCGGTGGTTTTCTCATAGAGGTATTCTAAATCGCTCTTTGAACCTTCTGACAAATGAAAGAAATTAAGTAAAAATTTGCATTTATAAGTCATATTGTTTTTGCTACAGCCTGTATTTTTGTTTAGGTGTTTCAAGTGAATGGAAGTCACATTGACGATAGAGGTTTTAAATATTCATGTATAAAATATTATACACTTGGAATTACAGGGTCAGGTTAATTTTAGCATCCACCACTGGATACGTATATAACGTCCCCTAATGAGTTTAATGAGTTCATTTATTATAAGATTACATCATTGTTTTCCGTAGCTGCTACCGTTTTTTGCAGCTGCCAACTGATCATTTGGGAATACCTACTCTTAATTATAGTAGGCTTAGGCTTAGGGCATCAATAATTATACTGGGATAGTTTAATCTATTATATTTTCAAGCATAATTTAATTTCACATTGATGTCTTCGCAGTAAATAGCTCTGTTTTAGCACATGGTTATTGTATGTCTGGAATAATTGTAGTTATCTGTGGCTAATCCATCTGAGTGTTCAGGAAGATGCCAAATCAGCCAACACTACATCCAACAGCTCTCCATAGTCTCAGGTGTAATAGAAATGAGCACAAATTATACTGATGTTAAACCCTGGCCAGTAGCAAAATGTCTGTTTTGTTTCCCACTTATTGAAAGTGACACCTCACAGCGTTTTAAAGATTTATCTGGGTGTAATTGTCGTATTGACCATGGGCATTGAATAAGCAACCGTCACTGTTTTTTGTTGTACATAAAAAATCAATTCTTTACTTATTATACAAGCATACTAATGAAAAAGCAAGGTAATGCCTGGTATTTTTCCACTGGCCCTAGGACTAAATGCTAGGCTACCCAGGTGAACAAATACTTAAAACAATATGTGGTTTCTATAACAACACAAGCTGGTTGTGTCCAGGTAAATACCACGCTGCATCTAATTGTTGCCAGAACTTTTCTTTGATTTAAAGTTTAGCACGCATCCTGTTCAATTCTGTGATTTTAGGATTTAGATGTTTGTCAGATCCTTGGAATCACTAAGTCGGAGGAGAAAGAGTAAGATAATGAAATGAAGCATGTTGACAAACTATGCGTGACAGATCATCTCTTGCCTCCCGCCCTCCCCTCATTTCCAGGCAGGGTTGGGCCAAACAGCAGGTGGTGCAGAGGAGAAGCCTGGACATGGGATATACAAATCTCTGGCTCCCTGACTTCTACACCAGGCAAGCAAGAAGGAGCAATAAATGCTAGATTTATATGTAAGTGTATTTTTTTTTTATCACCAAATTCTTTGTACTGGTTGGAGATTTATGTATTTCATGTGTTTTGTCTTAAAAAGACAGAAAATAGCACATCACGTGTGGGTGTTACGCTATGTACTCAGTTAATTTCACTGTGAATGGGGCTTTCTCTTGTGTGAATGCAGTTACGTAAGTTATGTATTATGGTCTTCAACTTGAGTAATCACTCAGAAAGCTGTAATATATTACATTTCTTAGATGTCAGATGATTTTTACTGAAATTCTCCACCCTGATTAATTGATTGTTGAAAAAATATAGGAATAAAGTGAATTGTTGATCAATGCTGCCATCAGATTTCAGGGTTTGCACTGCCTTTAAATGTTTAATAGAAAAGTCTAATTAGCAGCGCAATCATGACGTGCAATGCATTTAAAGAGCAGAGACATTTAAAGTAAAGATAAAAAAATACTGTACACATATTGCTTTGTGAGATTCATAGTCTACACATTAATTTATGATATTTGCCTCCCAAGAGTGCATTAATATTGCAGAGGGGTTTACTCTGATGGGAATAAAACCCTGGGAGCTGAGAATTTTTGTTAAAGGTCAAGTTTGCCATACAGAATACACTCTGCGTTTCACCAGGGAGGGTGTTCGGATTGGTTGAGGATTTTAAAGAAGGATTTCAATGCATCTGTTTAAGTCTAAAGCTTGAATGTTAATGTGCACATTTGGTTGTTGCTATTCATTTATTCCCCTAAATGTTCTGTTTAAGGTGTATAATTTTCATGTTTTATCTTTGATAGTATTTTTAAGTAACTGTTATGTACCTGATATATCTCATTTGTATCATGATTATAATGATTTGTGTTGTTTTTCCAAGATTTTACCCCTAATTGTCTTTCATGTTGTTGTTTTTGGAGGGGCGTTTTTGTTCAGACAGCTCAGGTGTCACAGCAATAACATCTTGGGTCAAAGCCTGCTGAATAGAGATACACGTGGACTTGAAGAGACAAATCAGGACTCAGATCAGATGACTCAAAAGAGGAGAAAAAAAAGCCACCCTTTAATCTCAGGACTGCAGTTGTGATGTGAATTGGAGAAGCTGAGGGCCAATGGCCATTTTAAGACATGGAGGCGCTCCTGTTCGGCTTCAAAAATCTTTTGGTAGATGAAACTTGATGTAAGCATGGGGTCAAAGAAGCCATAAAAGATTCTCTCCACTCACCTGACTTCTGCCAGCATGCCGTCACAGCATAGATGATTCACCCTTTGAAGAGGCGAAGCTGGGAACTACTGTGGTGTAATGATGTAGCAGCTACAGGTGACTTACACTTGGCTTATGATTTAGGACAGGCCGACCACAGACAGTATGGAAGGGCAGACAATCTCTTGGGTCTGGATATATGTAAACAGTACGGAACAACTGAACACTTCATATCCATACAATGCTACAGACTTAAGCGAAAACTCAGACAAATACCAGTCATACATCGTTGGTCTCTTCCTTTCCTGCCTGTATACCATCCTCCTTTTTCCTATTGGATTTATTGGTAACATCTTAATCCTGGTGGTGAACCTGAACCACAGAGAGAAGATGACCATCCCCGATCTTTACTTTGTTAACCTGGCTGTAGCTGACCTCATCCTGGTGGCAGATTCCCTCATTGAGGTCTTTAATCTGAATGAAAAGTATTACGACTACGCCGTCCTCTGCACCTTCATGTCACTTTTCCTGCAGGTCAATATGTACAGCAGCATCTTTTTTCTCACGTGGATGAGCTTTGACAGGTACATCGCCTTGGCTAGCTCCATGAGCAGCAACCCACTGAGGACTATGCAGCACGCCAAGCTCAGCTGTGGCCTCATTTGGATGGCCTCCATCCTGGCCACGCTTCTCCCCTTCACCATTGTGCAGACCCAGCACAGAGGTGAGGTGCACTTCTGTTTCGCCAATGTCTTTGAGATTCAGTGGCTGGAGGTAACCATTGGCTTTTTGGTGCCCTTCTCCATCATTGGTCTATGCTACTCTCTGATTGGGCGAATTCTCATGAGGGCCCAGAAGCACCGTGGACTGTGGCCACGGCGGCAGAAGGCTCTGCGCATGATTGTGGTGGTGGTTCTGGTATTCTTCATCTGCTGGCTGCCAGAGAACGTCTTCATCAGCATTCAACTACTGCAGGGCACAGCTGACCCATCGCAGAGGACTGCTACCACCCTGTGGCACGACTACCCGCTCACAGGCCACATTGTTAATCTGGCAGCTTTCTCCAACAGCTGCCTCAACCCCATTATCTACAGCTTTCTAGGAGAGACCTTCAGGGACAAGCTGCGTCTCTTCATTAAGCAGAAGGCCAGCTGGTCGGCCGTGAACCGCTTTTGCCACCATGGTCTTGATTTACACCTCCCTGTCAGGGGTGAGGTGTCAGAGGTGTGAAGAGAGACAGTTACTAAAGTTACACAAACTTGCGTCAAATCAAAGTTACGTATCAGTTTTCTTCAACTGTTATTTAGCTTTGCCTCATACAGTAGCTGTGCCAGTGTCTCAGTTAATCTGCTCACTTTCTGAACAAAAAAATTAAGGATTTACACCATGAGAAGGAAAACAAGGTGTTTAGTAAATATCAAACACACAAATACAGTATATAAAATCTATTTCATGCTAATCTCCAAATTTACTTTTCCTTAAGTTCTCTGTGTGGCATCAGAAAATGAATGACAAGCAAGATGTTGGTATGTGCTATTTAAAGTCTGGCAAAGTGAGATTAATAATAATAATAATAATAATATAATATATATAATAAATATATCACCCTGTGTGATATATATATATATATATATATATATATATATATATATATATATATATATATATAGATATATATATATATATAGATATATATATATATATATATAGCATAAGGACGCCTACACATCCACACCATCATGTGGCCTCATTTGGAACTAAATTAGCAACCGTCTTTGCTCTCTTCCTGTCTAAGACAATGCAGTGCCTATTTATTTCTGCTTTTAAGTTTTTTCTTTACTTTTGTTGAAATGTTGCCATGTTTAGTGAAAGTGGACCTATTAAACTTATTTAAAACTCCAGATTTTTATGTTTTTACTCTACTGGAGTGACTTTGCATGATTCACAGCTCCAAATAATCCATATTTATCTCATACTGGGGGTCATTCAGCCCCTCAGTTCAGCTCCCTGCAAAAAAAGACGTAGCTCCTTCTTTATTAGCTGCCCCTCGCAAGCAAAAGATTTGCAGATCTATCTCTGACAGCCATATTTGGTATAACCAGCCTCATAAAGAGCTATAAGTGGATGAAAATCTACATTTCTTTTACATGGATTTAGCAACCTGAAATGTTGGCCATGTTTAACATGACAGAAAACAAAGAAAAGCATAATAGGTCCACTTTAAACATTCACTGGAGCATGCAAACACATGTTCACAAACTTACTTTATTGTTATAAATAAAGAAGATGTCCCACTTTTCCATGAACTGAAAGTCAAAGTTATTGATAGCATCAATAAACCAGTTTTAAATATTGAGATTATTTTGTAGATCTTTCAGGAAATAGAAGTTAACACACAATCTCTATTTCTTAATTGATAAGCAGAACATTTGTGCTCATATTTATATTGAATCCAATGTCAGAATCGGGATCAGGGCTCAGTTTAAAGATGGCTGCAGTTATTACCTCACTTGTCAGTTCCTGTTAGCATGACGGTAAAGCAAAGAGGCAGGTGTTGTTTTTGCCAGAAGAGCAATGCTAACAACATAAAGCTGCTGCTTCATTCAGGCTTTCTTTAACATATATTCTTAATTTCTAAGTACGAGGCTTTGACAGACAACATTTCATCTTCTCATACTGCATCCACATATTTTATTTACAAGGTAAAAACTTCTCTTTTTTAGGTAGAATCAAACAACTAATGACAGTAACACAATTTGGCCAGTCAGACATGTGTTTGTTCCAGATTCACTGTGTTCCCAGAGGCCATCACTGCGATATAGCTGCCTGTAAATTGACAAAATGATTTTTACAGAACATTATAGACATTAAGATAATGACCACAAAGGTTAATTTAATTCAAATGAGCAGGTGCAGTGTACAAATTTTCAACTGTATGGTCCCTGAGGCGTTGCATGAAACCTGTCATAATTTGTTTGTTGATCTGTAATCAACGTCGTAAATTCTTGTGTAGTACTGCACTTCCTTCTTAATTTCACAAGTGCTTCTAGTCATATATTTTATCATTTATTATAACATGGTTCAAAGCATATTAACAGTGTTATTTACATTTTTACAAAAGCAAACATTTTACAGTATCATGCATTATGAATACTGGATACAGGAATTGCCATCACAACCAGGTTATCTTTATACACAATCTGTGTATTGCCAGCCTGCAGGCCGTGTGTGTGTGTGTGTGTGTGTGTGCGTGTGTGTGTGTGTGTGTGTGTGTGTGCGTGTGTGTGTGTGTGTGTGTGTGTGCATTAGGCGACCAAAGATAATGGCGTAACTGGGAAAAACAGGAGTCCAAACCACAAACTGTTATTCCAGCTGTAACGGGCCCTCAGCCTGGGAAAGCTACTCTCAGTATTGCTTCAGTGATTGTTTATTAGACATCCGCAAAAAATGCTAAACTTTTTGCAGTGCACGATGCTAAAAATTCTCTCGACTAGTGTTTCCATTACGCTAATTTTGGTTTTTTGTTTTGCACTTTCCCCATTCAACAAGCTCTGCTTTTCACACCTGTCCATAAATCTGTTAATCTTAACAAAGATTAAGCACAGATTGTATATTTGGAAAATTTATATGAACGTAGACATTATCTGAAGATTTATAATGTTCTGTAAACGGCACACGGCTATAACAGTGCCGTGAGGGCACAGAAACAGGAAGACAGGCAAGTAATAATGCAATGAGGACTGTCAAGTTCATTGATATAAACAAGCAACACCTAGACTCCAGAGGCAAGACCCTCTTTGTTAAGCCCTGAAGGAGAGGCAAAACCCCCCATCTGTACACATATAAACACACACAACTGTGAGAAGAGCTTTTCAGTGAACTATGTGAACAGCTGAGACTACTGAGGAAGGTTAAAGGGTTGTGGTGGCTGACGTCACAGAAGGGAAAAGGGTGCGACTTTTCCACTGCCTAAATTCAGTCCTTCCTCTTGATAATTCTGACTTGCACAATAAGCAAGAACCATTTGATAAAAGCACAAAATGAAATACTATTGACTTATCCAATGTTTGAATTTTTGGTCATTCCTTAAGACGGAGATCTGCTTTATTTCTTCATAGTTTGCTTCCGAGGAAAAACAATCGATTGTAATTGTTTAAAGTGGTCTTCAGCAACAGTTCTTCGCTCTTTCTGGAGGGTTTTAACAGTTCTTCTTCTTTCCCACGTCATTTGAATCCAGTGCTTTTACCGGACCATTTTCAGAACAATGTTTTTGTTTGTCAGAGGGCTCGGTGGCGCCAGTGTCCGGCAGCCTCGCCTCTGTCAGTGCGCCCCAGGGTGGCTGTGGCTACAATGTAGCTTGCCATCACCAGTGTGTGAATGTGTGTGTGAATGGGTGGATGACTGGATGTGTAAACTGCTTTGGGGTCCTTAGGGACTAATAAAGTGCTATACAAATACAGGCCATTTACCATAACATAGACTTGTGAATCATTCAAAGCAGCTAATTCAAAAGTTAGCTAACTGAAGGGATGAACCAATTATGTGTCTTCAGTCTGAACAGTCTCTCAAAGTATTGTCCTTAAGAATTAAGAGGAAATTCAGCAGACACCTGACAGAGGACCTGAGAGATGCATCTGACCCTTCAGTTGATCCATCTGTTGTTTGCCAAAGCCTCAGACAAGTAAGGGTGGCTGTCAAGAAGCCATTATCAAGGAAGAGAAACAGATAGAAAAGGCTGAGGTATGCCAGGTATTACACAAGAACTGAACTGAAAAATAGTGGCAACAGGTCTCATGGAATGATAATTCCAAATTCAAAATGTTTGTTTTTTTCATCAGCATGTATGGAGAAGATTGAGAAAGAGGTGTTGACAGCCATCTGTAAAGCACAGTGGAGGCTCTGTCATGGTTTGAGGCTGAATTCTAGCCATTGGTGTTTGACATTGTGCCAAAAGTGATGGAAATATGAACACAGAAAGGTACAGTCAGAGTTTGATCAACCATGCAATGCCATCTAGAAAATATCTGACTTGCAATGGCTTTATTTTTCAAGGATGACAATGATCCCAAACATACTGATAATCCAGTAAAAGCATGGAACGATTGAACAATATCAGTCATGGATTGGCCTCCAGAGTGCAGACTACAACACTGAAGCAGTGTGGGATCATCTTGACAGAAAAGAGAACAAAGGGCAGCCAACATCTAAAGAAGAGCATTACATTCAATTCAACTCAATTGAATTTTATTTATATACCACAAAAGCAGTCTCCTCAAGGTACGTTATATTGTAACGCATAATAACAATGTCCTTCAAGAAGCCTGGAGACCTATTTCTGAAGACTGCTTAAAGAAACTACAAGAAAGCTTGTCTAAGAAAGTTCCAGCTATGTTGAAGAATAAAGGTGGTCATACCAGACACTGACTTTTAAGCTCAAAATATTTCTATTAACTCCATTTTAGCTTTATGTACAGTATTTCCATGCGTGTTTGCACATTTCAATAAAGCTGTGCACTAGGGCTGCTCAATTAATCGAATTTTAATCACGATTACGATCTGGGCCAGTCAACACACATACGTGGGGCCCAAATAGGGAGCATCAGGGCTAATATTTGGGGCCCACTTGGGAAACCCAACTGGGGTCCAGCTAATTTTGTCCTCAGTTTCCATGGTGGCCCCAAATGTGTTTGCCCACATAGGTTAATGACGGACCCTGGATGGGCCCCAAATCAGGCCCAGCCAATAAACAAGTGTGGGACCCAGATGGGTAGAAGTGGGTCTGATAGTTGGGGCCCACTTGGGTTACCCACCTGGGACCCAGCTACTTTTGTCCTCAGTTTTCATGGTGGCCCCAAGTGTGTTTGCCCAGATGGGCTAATGACGGGCCCTGGATGGGCCCCAAATCCGGCCCAGCGAATAAACAAGTGTGGGACCCAGATGGGTAGAAGTGGGTCTGATAGTTGGGGCCCACTTGGGTTACCCACCTGGGACCCAGCTACTTTTTCCTCAGTTTTCATGGTGGCCCTAAGTGTGTTTGCCCAGATGGGTTAATGATGGGCCCCGGATGGGTCCCAAATCAGGCCCAGCCAATAAACAAGTGTGGGACCAAGATGGGTAGAAGCGGGTCTGATATTTGGGGCCCACCTGGGTTACCCACCTGGGACCCAGCTACTTTTGTCCTCAGTTTCCATGGTGGCCCCAAGTGTGCTTGCCCAGATGGGATTTTGGAT